CCCCTTCGGGACCCAGCGTCCTCGATGACACTCGCTCCTTTCTCCAATTAATGTGAGACCCTAGCCAAATCCACCCCCCTTCAGAGCCCAGCGTCCTCGATGACACTTGCTCCTTTCTCCAATCAATGTGGGACCCTAGCCAAATTCACCCCCTTCGGATCCCAGTGTCCTCGATGACACTCGTTCCTTTCTCCAATCAATGTGGGACCCCAGCCAAATCCAACCCCTTTCAGCTTCCTCCTAGCACATCGCCTCATGTCCACCCCCTTCAGGGCTCTCCCTCCTCGCTAGTATATCACTCGATGACTGACTCTTATACCATTTGTAACGGCCCAAGCTCACCGCTAGTAAATATTGTCCTCTTTGAGTTTTCCTTTTTGGGCTTCCCCTTTATAACCTATCTACTAGGGAAAGGTTTCCACACCCTTGTAAAGGTGTTTCGTTCTCCTCCCCAACCAATGTGGGATCTCACGTAATCACAATATAAAATTTTAACACAGGACACCTGAAGTATATTTCAATGAATGCAACAAAACGCAATGGGAAACCTACTATTGTGTAGAGAAACACAAAATTCAATAGAATCCGAGTGGAGTAAAGAAATTCCGCCATGGAAGAGCATACCTAGGAAATTTGACGGCGGAAGGAGAGCGAAACAAGCTCCAGAACGAGAGAACTCCCATGGCACAGCCTGAAAAGTTGCGAAGATGATGACGTTAATGGATAAGTTGAAACGAAGTGGATGAGGAAGAGAAGGAGAGGATTCTACGGTGAAATTTATGACGAAGAACGTTGGAGAAGATTTATTTTAATTAAATTACATTTAAATCAATAAAAATATATATTTTTGAATTCAAAATTTCAATAATATCCTAAATATTTTTCTAACTTTTTTTAACAATTTAAAAAATAATTAGTACTATATTTAAAAATTATGTATTTAACTAACTTTTATAAAGTTGGGTATAATTAAAAGCATATAGATTCGTCCATATACTAAGAATATTTTTAATTTTTTTTAAAAAATTAAATATATTATTAATAAAAATTTAAAATTTATGAATATTTTTGAAATATCGTTTAAATTTTAATAATATTTTTTATTCTTTTAAAAATTTAGTATATAATTCAAAATTTTAATTATTGATTTAAAAAATACTCTTAAATTTTTTTAAAAAATATATATTAATATTTTAATTTTTTTAAAAAAAAATTAAAAAATATTCGTATAATTAATGCTGCAGTAAACAAAATTTTAAAGCGTTTTTATAATTAATATATCTCTATACTAAATTCATAAATTATCCTAAATTTTTTTTAATTTTTATAAAAGTTTTAAGAATATTAATACTGATAAAATATACGGCGTATTTTTTAAATAAAACATTAAATATTCTCATCTAACATAAAGTTTTTTTTTTTTTTTATTTTTTTTATTTTAAATTTTAAGAATATTATTAAAATTTTGTTGAGATAAAAAGCGAAAAACGGTATTTTTATTAATTTGTGATAGTTACAAAAATAGACAGAAATCGATTTTACAATGGTGAAACGGAATAAGGACACAAAATCCCTATAAGATGTGCAGAATCGATTGACAAATCTGTTGTTTAAGTTTAAGATCTTCAAGAACTTTTGTTAAGATCTTCAGAAGCTTAGCAGTTAGATTACGGAGAATCGATTTGCAACCTAGACCTAATTCGCCCAAGTGAACTGGGCCGTCGTCGAGCTAGAAATCAACGCCGTCTCTCTTCTCCTCCATTCCGATCTTCGGTTGTGAAATCAACGGCGATTCGATCCACCGGATCCCTGTATTCATCCCACAATCCACTGAATCCCTTCACTTTCTTTTTATTCTTGTTGCTATGGGAAAGAGAAGAGAGCGTCGACGTGCAGCTCTAAGCAACGCCGGTCGCCGTGTCAAGCTTGATCTATTCGCCGAGCCCTCCGGTAGTTTTCCGTTTTTTGGTTCTCCCTTTTGTGTTATATGCGCGGTTTGTATAATCGCGCTTGTCGATATATGTTTGTTTGTTTGTTGCTAATTTGATTGTGTTGGGAATTTGTTTATTTCTTCATGTAGGGTTGTGTTAGTTTCTGTTGAATGTTCTTTTCCATTTTCAATTTGTTTATTTTGTAATGGAAGCAGTGAATTTTGATCTCCTGGTGGCTAGTTTTCTTAACTCATTGAGTTGGGCTTCTATCTGTTTGGAATTAATGCTCACTCAGATTGATTAGGGCATGGGGGCTTGTTTAAATGTTGTGTAAACATATTTTTTCTGTTCTTTCGTGAGTTTTTGAGGTGGTTCTTTTTGTTTGTTTCATTTTTTAATTTTGTTCATTCATGGCACGAGTTTTCATTGGCTTTATGTTGTGATTAATACAATGCTGCTCTGGTCTTTGATATGTAACTTTGTTTACTTGACATTGTAATCAATGCATTCCATCCTAATTGTTGCTCCCGGTTTCTTCTTTAAATTCTTGCTTTTGGCTATATCCAGCCTTCAATAAACATAAATGTTATGCATATGAGTATTAGTTTGGTCATTATTTGAGATCAAAAGTGGTTTATATGATTACTAAAAAGGAAAAAGTATATCTATGAATGCATCAAAGAAATTTACATTAGTTTATATTGGAGTTTCATTGATTCAATCTGAGAAGGGTAGAATGAAAAGTATTTATTCATTTTTAAATTTTTTTATTAGAAATTCTTTCAAGGGTTAGTGATATTTCTCTTTATATTAGTTGTTTCCTTAATATATGATCTTGGGTGACACTGATATACTCGATAGCAGCTTCTAGTAATTTTAGCTTCGGAGATCGTTAATATAAGATGTCTGTATTTTAATGGGGGATATGTTATTCTTTGTCTAGGAGATTTAGATGGCTCTGATGCACATGAAGAAGTTGGAGGGGATATAGATTCAAGACAGACAACCAAGTTACCTAAATCAGCATCCTCCTCAGGTGGGTTCTATCAGTGTTCTTCAAAAGGACTATGTAAAGGGGATATGAGTGCTTCACATTATAATGGTGGATATTTCAAACTTTATGTACAAGACTTTGTGTTATTTGCCCCCAGAATTTGTTTTCAGTCTATAGGGTGACTGTGGTCTTTGGGACACCAATAATCAGATCAGGCCAGGTCAGGGCCACTGCCACAATGAACATGTGAATGACTCTCAATCATTATGCTGTTTTTGGAGATTTCGACAGGGAAAATTTTTCATCGGTTCGTATGTCTCTGTCTTTTCATTTTTGGTTATCACTGACATTTGTCCTTGGATGTGTAACAGGTGGATGTGATGCAAACACCTTCAATGTTCACGTTGAATTGCACTGTTTTAATTTTGAAAACTTCATGTTTCTAACACCTTGTGATATTCATGAAATTTTCAGGGAATTCTTTGACGTGCTGCTAAGAGATATGGTTTTGGATATATTTGATGTGGAAGTGTTTTTATTTTCAGGTCAACAAGCACAAAATCCCTTGCTGTTACTGGAGCAATATAGTGATGATGAAGTTGATGAGGACTCCAATAAAAATTCAGATCATGATGGACAAGATGCGTTGTTACCTGACTGCAATGACGAGGTATCTTTCTTTTATTTTCTGAATTGCTGATCAGGATTAGAACTTGAATAAGCTTGATTTGATATCCTACGTTCATTCATTTCGGGTTAGCTCTTGTGAGAGGATTTATTAGTGATTCAACTCCCCTCCCCCAGAGAATGTATTAATTCTGCCTTAAATTCCAATAAAATGTGGGTTGAAGCCTAATTCATGTTATAAATGATAAGACTGTAATACTTCTTTAAGTATTGAGGTATTTGTTGCTTAGCTGATTTTGGTGCTGTTTGTTATGGTAAGCTGAAAATATTTTCGATGGCAAAATTTTGAAAACGAGAATTTAGGTTTGATCCTAATTTGATGCAAAATTTGAATAGTCATAAGGCATTTCATATGTTTTACCAAACGAGCCTCGAATGACACTTTTGTGCATGTTAACAAAGTTTGCTTCTATTCTTAATAATATATTTCTTTTTACTGTTGTCCTTGATTCCAGGTTGCTGCCCTTCTTGCTGAGGGATGTGAGAAAGTGGAGGCAAATGTCGGTGAAGACATCATTGCTGAAAAGGCTGTTCAAGAGGAACCCGAGCGAGGTTCTGCTGAATTTTCTGAGAACCTGGAGAGCAAAGATGAAGCAAAAACTGACACTAATAACTTGGGATATTTAAGCAAGGAAACGGATGTGGTTCAAACATCTGTACCAGCCACATCTATTGTACAAGTATCAGGGGATGTTATTTCAGGATGGAGGGTTGTCATGCATGAGGAGAGCCATAATTATTATTACTGGAATGTTGAAACTGGGGAAACTTCATGGGAAGTTCCTGATGTCGTTTTGGCTCAGACTCAGCCTACTCTATCAGCCACTGACGTTATAACTTCTCCAACTCAATTTCCAGAGAACGTTACAGTATTTAAACAGGATTCTGGCTTATCTAATGGTGGGAGGTTAGATGCTTTTTCAGCAGAAAGCACAGGTGAGTGGTCTGCTAATCACAATGCTTTATAATTATTAAAAAATTTAAAATATGAGCCTAAAGTGAACGATCAAATTGAAGGTTACAAGAACGGCGTTCCAGTTACTGCAAGTCAGGGTTCCGAGGTTGACCAAAGCTATGCTGCCTTCAGTACTTGTTCAAACAATGTGAATATCGCAAAAGCTGCTTCTGAGATCTATGCTGATTACGCGGTGACTAATGAGGAACAGAAATCAGGGTTGGATCTTCCTTCACATCTTCTGAACTGGAGTTCGAGCTTGTTAGAGAGATTAAAATCATTACAGAAGTAAGATTTGACTTTTTCACCTCAATTGAATATTATTAGTTATTCACAACCTTCATTCACCATTTAGTTCTTGTTCAAATGATGTTGAGCTTTTTCACTTGGGCAAGCACTTTGATCACCTTTCCATTTGGCTTGTAAGCCTTAGGGAAACAATCACTTTGATCACCTTATAGATCTGTCAAACACTAACCAAAAGAAAAACCTAACCGTTTTGCATAAGAAACCGAGTTTCAGATGGCACCAGTGCCTATGCTTGGTATTGCACCTTATGGTGCTGTTAGTTCTCAATTGAATCCAGTGAGGAATAGGCCTAAGCCTTGTCTTCTTGCCCAACCTTTTCTTCATTATGAAGGTTTTGTGGATGTCATTTTGATACAAGGACACGGGCGAAAAGAGGAACCAAATGCAGTAGGAAACCTTAGAAAACTTAAACCTTTAAATTTAGCAGTGATATAATTGGTCTTAATAATCTTGTGCTCATGAATCCCTTTCTTCTTGATTATTGTAATATTATTTTATGTATAACCTACATGCCTCCGATTGAACCTTTCTAATGTTATCCCTCTAAACCATTGGTTTTTCTCCCGAAAAGTTTAATACTGTGTTTATGAACAAATTATTTTTCAATCAAGTCGTGGCGGGATATATTTAGTGTTATGTATATTCATTTCTCAATTTTATTCTTGACTTCTTATGTTAGCATTGAGAAATGGACTTCGGGTTTTATGTCACATTCTTGTACTGATGGCTTAAACATCAACTTCAGGTCTGGGGGTCATGAATGGACATTAAAGTACATATTGGAAACTCAGGTTAGACTTTCGGATTTGGAGTCGCTGATGCCGTATAAGGCATCGTTGCTTCCATTCTGGGAACACTTGGCAAGGAAACTTAGACAGATTGAAGATGACATTAACAAAGAAATTTATCAGACTGTTGTTGTATCGTCGCAATTGGATGAAGCCAAGATTACTGATAGTCCAAACATTGTAAGAAACGAGAAATTTCAGGGAATGTCGGATGTTGCGTCTGATGTTGCGAGAATGGAAAATAGTGGGATTTCTGCTTTGGAGCATTCTCATTTGCCTACTGATTCTGCTTCTTTGACTATCATTGCAAATGGAGAAAATATTTCACCGTCTAATGGAGAAAATATTTCACCGTCTAAGGGGAACTCTACTAGTGTGATTGACCATGCAAGTGAAATTGCAATTGATGAAATGGCTTCCAAGAGTGAACATTCTGTGGAAGATGTTGACATGGAGGTGGATATGGAAGTTGAAGATGCCGGTTTTGCAGGTAGCTTGACGGTGGCTGGTACACCAGATATATACAATGCTAAGTCATTTACTTCGTTCGAGCAACCACTTCAGCCAGATCAACAAGCCCAGCCAAATCTTTCTTCTGGCTTTGCATACATGGGGCACGAGGATGGCAGTGTAGCACCACCGCCACCACCAGCGGACGAAGAATGGATTCCCCCACCACCACCTGATAATGAAGATGTTCCTCCACCCCCACCTGATGAACCAGCTGAACCATTATATCATATGCCTCCATCTTATACCCAACTTGGGCAGCCTGTTTGTTACACTGAACCATATCAAGTGTCTTATCCTGATTCTAGTATTCAGTATTATGCACATCCTGTCCCTGAAGTTGTACCTAGTGCAGATTTTTACGGACATCCAGAAGCATGTAACGTTGTATTGGCTCAAGCACCATTTTGCTATGAGGCAGTTCCCAATTCGCATACGGGTTCTGCTCCCCTAGTTGTAAATGGTGTTGTGCCTGAAGGTTATGGTATTCTTCAAAACGCAACGTCCTCTCTTTCCATCTTTAGTACTGCTGGGTCGTCTCAGTTGCATGTTGATTCTGCATCTGTGAGTTTTGATCCTTCTTTCACTTTTCATTATGGATCTTCTGATACTGCAAGTATGAATACTGCTTCTGCCGCTGATGAAATTGACAAGGGGTGTGGAGACACGAAAGCCTCCGTCCGAGTATCTACTTCAGTCTCCCCAACTAACGATGTTCCGCCAACAAGTAATGCCGTTACTGATCCTTCAGCTGTTGCTAATACAACTGCAATTTCCAAGGTTCAACCAAAAGGTATGATATTTTAGCAGTTGTCATTTTAATCATGATGTTTTTGCAAGGAGCTAAATATGAGTGGAGTGTTTATCTAGATAGTAGCTTCCGCAAAAGAGGTTGGAACTGGGAGAGGAAAATTGTGAGATCTCATGTCGGCTGGGGAGGAGAACGAAACATTATTTGTAAGGGCATGAAAACTTCTCCCTAGCAGATGTTTTTTAAAAACTTTGAGCAAAAGTCCGGAAGGGAAAGCCCAAAGAGGACAATATCTGCTAGTGGTGGGCTTGGGCTGTTACAAATGGGATGACACCGGGTGATGTGCCAGCGAGGAGGTTGAGCCCGGAAAGGGGGTGGACGCGAGGTGGTATGCTAGCAAAGATGCTGGGCCCCGAAGGGGGGTGGATTGTGAGATCCCACATCGGTTGGGGAGGAAAATGATACATTCTTTATAAGGGTGTGGAAACCTCTCCCTAGCAAAACCTTAAGGGGAAGCCCGAAAGGGAAAGTTCAAAAAAGACAATATTTGCTAGGGGTAGGCTTGGGGTCGCTATAGTGTGTTGAATGGCCTAGGATTTAGCAGCACTTGTTGGGTACAGTTCATTAATCTTATCAGGTATCCATCAACCCTGTTGTGAGCTCAAACCGTTAGTGTAGTGCAGTTTAACTCTTCTACTGAGATGTTCATGCAGTGGCCTCCCAATACGGCATCTGCTCTAATGTTCTGTTGCTGTTTTTTTTCTATGCAGCTCTGCGCAGTAAAAAGCGGACAGTTGCGGTTGCTCCATCCTTGAGATCGAATAAGAAAGTTTCGAGTTTGTTGGACAAGGTACGTCTTGTGTCTTTCTGTGAAATCTCACATCGGTTAGAGAGGGGAACGAAACATTCCTTTTAAGGGTGTGGAAACGTCTCCCTAGTGGACGCGTTTTAAAATCTTGAGGGGAAGCCCTCGAAGGGAAAGTTCAAAGAGAACAATATTTGCTAGCTGTGAGCTTGAGCTGTTATTAGTGGTATCAGAGCAGGTCACCGGACGGTGCAAGACACTGGTCGGAATAGGGCTAGACCCTCTCCATTGTAGATGCGTTTTAAAACCTGAGGGAAAGCCCAAAGAGGACAATATTTGCTAGCGGTGGTCTTGGGCTGTTACACTTTCGGATCCATAGATATATTACCTCATCCTCTCCTTGGTCTTTCTGTATGGGATGCCATAAAGTTATATTTTTCATGCCTGACGAATCATTTCTGTTTATTCATTTTGATTGATCAGTGGAAGGCAGCGAAGGAAGAACTGGAAGAAGACGAGGAAGAACCAGAAAATGCATACGAGATTCTCGAGAGGAAACGAGAAAGAGAAATAAAGGTTACAATACAACAGAATACATTTGATAATTTAATTTACTGCATCTGTGCTGGGTTCTTACCAATGTTTTTGATGCAGGAATGGCATGCACAGCAAATTGCCAGTGGAGATGCAAAAGAAAACGCCAACTTTCAGCCTCTTGGCGGTGATTGGTATGAAGCTCAAATGACAAAATACAATTCCTTAGTCCTTCATTTGTCTTGTAAACTATCATATTCTCGAAATCCCTCTTGCACTCTGTGCCTCTTCTAGTTTGAACTCCAACCAATTGTGCAAACTAAACTGATTCGAGTTCAAGGACTCGTTTTTAGACTATGGTTTTGAGCTCTGCTTGCTACATTTTCTAGGCGCGAGCGTGTAAAGCGAAGGAGAGCGCAATCATCGAGTGACGTTACTCAATCCCCTGCTGAAGCATCCACAGATGGAAACCAGCAGCAGCCCGACCTGGCAGAAATTGCAAAAGATCTCCCCTCAGGATGGCAGGTAATTTCCCTTATAGAAACGATGAACTGATATTACAAAGTAGAATGGAGCGTGACCTTCAAGCCCCTTGTGATGAAAATCGAACTGAACGCATCCGTTTTTAGAGGCGTCTTGTACAATAGCTTTCAATTTTCCTTTTGCCTTTTCAATACCTTTAAGCGCTCTCATCTGAATCATTCATCAACGTTGTTGTCTAGTCTAGAACTTGCTTTAGTAGAACCAATCCCTCGAGATGAAAATCGAACTAAACACATCTGTTGTTAGAGGCTGTCTTGTACAACAGCTTTTGATTTTCCTTTTGCAAAACCTTTAAGCGCTCTCATCTGAATCATTCATCAACGTTGTTGTCTAGTCTAGAACTTGCTTTAGTAGAACCTAAGTCCCTCATGATGAAAATCGAACTGAACACGTCCATTTTTAGAGGCGTCTTGTACAATAGTTTTTGATTTTCGTGTTGTCTAATCTAGAACTTGTTTAGTAGAACCAGATAGTTATCTTACTGGGTTTCTTTTTGCAACATCGCGTTTTTTCAGGCATATTGGGACGAGTCAACGAAGCAGGTGTATTATGGTAACGTTAACACTTCGGAAACGTCGTGGACAAAACCAAGGAAGTGAAGCGATGTTTATGTCATAGTTTAGTGATTTTGTTGGGAACTTAGGGGATTAAAATGAAATGTGAAGTAGTAGGTGTTGTTGGCATTGTATAGCTAACTTGTTGTTAGGGTAGGGAAGGAAGGGAGATTGTGGAGAGGAACACGACAGTCTACAATTTTGCTGATTGATTTGTTCAATCAAATTGTCATTTATTCCTCTCTGGATAGTTTGTGCTGTAAGCTGTAGGCTCAACTTACATTCTTTTTGTTAGCCTAATTTCAGTTCATTATTTCTGGATTTATTATTGATTTTTAATATTAAAAAATAAAATAAATCTTCTTTTTTTTATTCTCTCTCCTCCTCGGTCAGCGAAAAGTTAACAGAGATGTCATGAGTCTGGTAGAGAGTCGGTTTGGATTTAGAAAAATGAACCCAACCCAACCCCTATAGTTTGAGTTGGGTTGTCGGGTTGAATGTACACTCTTATTATGAGGTGGGACAATTGAGTCGAGTTAATAGAGTGTCCCTTAGGATATTTGTGAGGATCGAAGATAATTCACAAACAAACAAATTATTATTTTTTTTTATTGAAGAGCTAAATTTTAATATTACAATATACTCATTTGACACTTAGGTATAAGAAGTAAGACAAGACCGTGTAGAAATTTAGGTAAGGGCGGGTTTGCATCTTACATTGGTTGGAGAGCGGAAAAAAACATTTTTTTTAAGTGTGTAGAATCCCTAAGAAAATAGTATCTGCTACAAGTGGGTTTGTGCGGTTACAAATGATCTCAGAGCTTGACACTAGTCGATGTGCCAACGACTATGCTGAGCCCCCAATGAGAGTCGATTTGAGTGGATTGTGAGATCTCACCTCGGTTGGAAAGGGGAACAAGTGTGTAGAAGCTCTAAGAAAATAATATCTACTAGTAGTGAGCTTGTGCGGTTATAAATGGTATCAGAGCTAGACACCCGTCGATATGCCCACGACTACACTGAACCCCCAATAAGAGTCGATTTGGGAGGATTGTGAAACCCCACCTCAGTTGGAGAGGGGAATGAAGCAAGACACTGGACGGTGTGTCGGCGACTACATTGAGCCCCCAATGAGGGTGGATTTTGAGATTTCACATAGGTTGAAGAGGGAAACATCAAGCAGTGTGCTAGCCAGACACCGGTCGATGTACTTGCGACTATGCTAAGCTCCCAATGAGAGTCGATTTGATTGTGGGATCACACATCGATTGGAGAGGGAAATGAAGCAAGATACTGGGCGGTGTGTCGACAACTACGTTGAGCCTCTAATGAAGGTGGATTTTGAGATTCCACGTATATTGAAGAGGGAAATATCAAAACGGTGAGCTAGGAATGACATTAGCTCCCCAATAGAAGGTAGGAATCCAATATGGGAGTGTCAATTTGAGCATTAGAAAAAATATTTATTTATTTATATTAAGAACCAAAATATTATCAAATAATGTAAGCTTATACAGAAGCTCGAAGGTTCTTGAGAGTCCAAAATGTCGAATCGCCCCCGATCCCGCTCCATGAAAAATGGCTTCTTCGAGTATAGTTGAAGGTTTTGATTCTTCGTTTTGTTCTTGATTTTGTTTTTGTTGGTTATGTTTGAGCTTGATTACTTAAGCTTGAGTTTGAAGAAACGAACTACGAGTATAATAACCAATGGCTTAGGTTTTTGTTCCAAGTCATCTTCACGGCCAAGATCATGACCGAGAAATCTAGGTAAAGATTCATCAATGTTGTTGGCGAAGATATCCAAGGTATGAATCTCGACCGGTATGAGGTAATTACAAATGGTGAATGATCTTATTGCTCTCAGAAACTTGTTTTTGTTTCTAAAATGCGTAAAAACAAGATCAAAGTTAGAAATCGGCCAATTTATTAGAACATTCAATACAAATAAAAGAATGAGAAACAATACAAAAGAGGATAGTATGAACTTATTCTTCGGAAAGTAAGTTATTGTTTGTTGGTAATTTCATTTCCGAATACAGAATCATCGAAGAACGAACACGAACAAACCCTGGGAAAACGATTCAAGGCGAATAGGATGTCATAAGGTCAGTGGATTTATGAGCCAACTCAGAGAGATTGGAGCCAACGGATCGGCCGCGGAGCATGCCGGTATGGCGGTGGTGGCGGCAGCGGAAGGAGCCGATGTGAGTGGTGGGAGAGCAGAGACAACTGGCCTTGGCGGAGGAGGGTGCCTTGGGTGCCAGTGATCGGGACGGCGAAGAGGCGAGCAGGTTAGGGCCTTGCTTAAAATCCTCTAGATCGAAGTCTGTGAATGGCGTTTTGTGGTGGTGATTGGGGTTGTTTCTGTCGATGGGCCTCGGAGCCTTGTGATCTGGTTTATGATCCATGGATTGAAGTTTCTGATGGAAATGGAATTAGGGTTTGTGAATTTGTGGAAGAAGAAGAAGAAGAAGAAGAAAATAAGAGTCCTGTTCTTGGAGAAATGCAAGCACATTTTGACATTGGTACTCAACCCCTCAACTTTTGCTGTTTGCTCAATCACAACCTTTGGTTTATTTTTAGCCTTCCATGCTTATTTCTTTTTTTTCTTTTTTGATAATAATATTTTTTTTTAGGGTTAGAATAGTCGCTACAAAAATAGTTCGACATGGATTCCAATCATGTCTCTACCATCCATTTCTCCCAGCTCGTGAGTAGCATCTCGGGTTAGCACAACTACAAGGTGGAGTTGGGAAAGCTTTCCTTGTCCTCACTCCCATTTGTTTTGGCAAGGATTTTTCGAAAATTTTTATATGATAAATTAGTTATGTTTGTGTGAGATATCGCATTGGTTGGAGAGGGAAGAGTGTGAAAACCTCTTCCTAACGGATCGTTTTAAAACTGGAGGGGAAGTTTGGAAGAGAAAGTCCAAAGAGGACAATATCAGTTGGCAGTAGACTTGAGACAAGCACTGGGCGGTGCCAGCGAAAACGTTGAACGCCGAGGGGGTTGGATTGTGAGATCTCATATTGGTCGGAGGAGGACAATATCTTCTAGTGGTGGATTTGAGATAGACACTGGGCGGTGTGCCAACGAAGACATTGAATGCCAAGGGGGGTGGATTGTGGGATTGGTCGGAGAGGGAAACTGAACCTTATTTATAAGAATGTGGAAACCTTTTCTTAACAGACTGTGTTTTAAAGAGGACAAAGAGATAATATTGGCTAGCGGTAGAGTTGAGTTGTTACCGTCTGAGTTTTTATATATGTATAAAGCGAGACAAGGTAGGAATTTGGAGTTAGACAACTAATATGAGTCTAAGTACTTTTATGGATATGGTACGATCTAAAATTATAGATTTTTATTTTTATTTTTTTTATATAGATGTGTCAAAGCTATATCGAACAGAATTTCGATACCTTAAACAACATCAACTCATAACAATTTTATTCACCATTCCATTACAACTCTTCATCGTAATCAGCATACATCTCTCCAAATTGTGCAGCAGGGAAAGTATCGTACCTCGCATCGACAGTTTTCAGCCCAAGTCGATCTTTTTCTCGTTCGTTATTTTTGCCTCTTGTATATCTTTGTCAAGGAAAGATTTTCAACACTACTTGTACAACATCATTTGGATGAATTTCTATGAATTTTTATAAGCTTCTCGTAACTAAGTCGATAATGGGGTCATGTTTACATCAACTTAGCGATCCTTGACATCTCTACGATCTCGAAGATCAGTGCACTCAAAGCCTATTAATTCGCTTCACATCTAAGTAGTTCTATGGATTGTTTTAGAAGCTAAATTTGGCTTTTACTTATCACATCTAAAAAGGCTATATATATATATATATATATATTTATAATTCATGTAAAATACCGAAAATTCAATTGGCTAGAGGTTTATATTGATAACTTTAAGTATTTATAATATCGAAAATCCAAAAAGTAAATAAGCAGCAACCTTTAAGTGCGGTTTGAACTATTGTTTTACGTAATTGGAAGTAGCCAACTAGGTTTACGACAAAACCTAGAAATCGATCACTGATCCAATTTGAGTACCTCCACAGGATAAATCTCAACAGAAAACTGAAGAGTAACAGTAGCAAGTGATTGAGTTCAGTAGTTCCTCATATAAAATTATTGACTCTAGAGATACAGTACAAGTGATTGAGTTAAGTAGTTTCTCATATAAAATTATTGACTCTAGAGATATAGTAATATGGAGAAAACTAAATTGTTTCAAGCATCGACAGAATCAGAAGCATCCCTTGTTTCAAAGAGAGGAGGACGGGTTATTCACATTTCATTTGATGGTCAGAGGCAAATTGAAAGCTAAGCAGTGGTAATTCTAAGGATTTCCAAGGAGAAAAATAGAGATGTCTCCTACGTTACCCGTAATATGTGGAAGCATCAACGTGACTCCATAACCTAACACTCTCAACCATCTCTACTCCATCCATGGCTTCCACGGCCATCTCCGTCCATGGCTTCCACGGCCATCTTTAACTCTTCTTCTTTCTTTTTCCTTCTCTCTTGGTTAAAAAAAATCAGTACAAGTTTGAAATGAAACAATCTCATCTCACGTGTTATTGAACTAAAAAAATAGCGAAGTGGCGGATAACAATGACACAATGAAACAAAGTCCAGACGAGCATGAACATGGACGATAACCATTCTACGTGTCGGTAAAACAAACAAATAATATACTTACATAGACATAGACAGACATGTAGACACTGCAATCCAAGAAAGTTCTCACAACTTAAAAGCAGTGGAAGCAGCAGAATTCTATTCTTATGGGGCTTTAAGGATAGCCTATGAATTCAACTCATTCAACTAATTCATGTGTGGGAACAAAAAAGAACAGAATTTGAAGTGCTTTTTATCTTTGAAGTTGTTGCTTACAGAGAGGGCAGGAAGATGTGATGGAAAGCCACTTATCTACACACTTGAGATGGAACAAATGCGAACAAGGCAACTCTCTTACTTCTTCTTCATCTCTGTATTTGACTAAGCAAATGCAACATTCCTATAAGAACAGCAAAGGAAAACAAACAAACTCAGTCAAATTCTTCATTGCAAGTATATATTATATGCTTCACTTACTGGATCTTCCTTTGGAAGCCCTTTGTTGTTACTATCAGCTTGCTTTGAGCTTGCTTTATATCTCCAGCAAGGTAGCTCGGATATCTGATCATCTGATGCGCCTTTGTCGGTCGATGCCATGTTAATGTTATACCCGAGAAGGCTACTAATCAATGGCACACAGCAACATAGCAGCAGAAAAAGTATGAATGGACAAGAGTAGCAGATGGCATTCCAAACTAACAGGAAGACGCATAGCAGATGAAGCTTGGGAGCTCTTTGGAAAGAACCGAAGCGAGAATCAACGATCCAAACGTTGCCCATTACGAACCATATGGCAAAGAAAAGTTCAAGAGACGACCGACATTTGTTCATCAAGCGCAAGCTCCTGCACATCGTATTGAACAGGAGTTGTAGATAAGAGTTGCAAAATTTGCATCCACACTCTAAATGAGTCAGTTTCAGTGGTTGAGGATCGTTGGGAGGGAGTCTCATGTTGGCTAATTTAGGGAACGATCATAGGTTTATAAGTAAGAAATACATCTCCATTAGTATTAGGCCTTCTGGGTAAGCCCAAAGCAAAGTCACGAGAGCTTATGCTCAAAGTGGACAATATCATATCATTGCGGAGGTTCGTGATTCCTAACACCAATTTTTTAGACAGAGAAAGAAAAGCAGCATTTTTCTGTGTACTTTCAGCCAACTTCTAAATGATTCTAAATTTCTTATACTAGAGAGAAAGTAGACCTTGTTTATCCTCCATCAGCTGCTTTATCCACTCTAATATAGAGAAAGTAGCATGTTAAGGAATACCTTGATGCTTGACTGCTCCTCCGCTGCTCGATGTCGGGAAGGCCAACGCGCTCTCCACGCATTAAATAAACGTGCCAATATCGTCCGTAGAGAAGCAACAAGCTAAGAATGCAGCCAAGATCGTAACCAACTATCCACAATCTCATAGGCCAAACAGGCTTCTCTGTCTCTGAAATGGCGAGAAAAAACACAGTGATGGCCAGCTGAAGCACCATAGCTATCAGTTCCATAGCCATCCACGAGCTAGAATTGAAAGGATCGGACCCGAGATCTGATCTTGATCCATTCTGGTAGTGAAATACTCTTCGTAAGAAAATGAACCACCTGGCTCTAGACACCCTCATTGCTACCCTAACCCAGAAAGATGCAGGGAGAGAAACAGAATTGTCATCTCTAACATCTGCACCTGCACCTTCTTCTTCCACCAGTGAATTCGAGATAAAGGAAGCAGTGCCATTGTAGTTACATGAAGGCCCCGAAATGAAATAACCAGAATTGATCATTGAAAAGGACCTTTCCTTATCTAGTACAACACAAAAAAAACAGCTCGGACTCAGCACAAACATAGAAAACAAGTGCTTTCATGGAGATTCAAGAGCCAACTTGACAATCATGACAGTCAAAACAACAGAACATTCTCCCACAATGAATGAACAAAACAACCCACCAATTATCTATTCAAATTCATGAAAATTCCAAGCCAAAACCATACGATCACTCAGCCAGGCAAATCATCAAACACCAACCGTGCACAAAATCAAAACACTTACTCCCCAGAATTGATCATTGAAAACAACCTTTCCTTATCTAGTACAACACAAAAAAACAGCTTGGACTCAGCACAAACATAGAAACAAAGTGCTTTCATGGAGATTCAAGACCCAACTTGACAATCATGCAGTCAAAACCACAGAACTTTCTCCCACAATGAATGAACAAAACAACCCACCAATTATCCATTCAAATTCATGAAAATTCCAAGCCAAAACCATACGATCACTCAGCCAGGCAAAACATCAAACACCTATCGTGCACAAAATCAAAACACTTACTCCAAATCCACCCGCCCGAGCTTCTCAACCGTGGCAGTCCAGATCAAACCTGGAAAGCAATCTATAAACATAAACATCATCAGTTCATCACCCAAAAAAGATCAGAACAAAAGGGAAAAAAAGAAACACAGAGACCCACCGACGAGGAAGACCCACTTGGGTTTTAATGGGTAAATTGGATAAGGGTCAAAGGCATTGGGGAAAAGGGGAAAGAAAGTGGGAAAAGGGGACATGGAAGTGTAAATAGAAGGAAATGGGCGAAGGGGAGCTGTCGGAAATGGTGGAGAAAAGGAGAGGAAGGTGAAATGGAAGAGATGGGGACTGAGGATCAAGAAGAGAAAACGAAGGGGAAGTGGGTAACTTCGATTGAAAGGGAATGAATCGGAGGTTTGAGAATGGTGGCGTCAAGGATTGGATTGGATTGGATTGGATTGGATTGGCCAAACTTTGTTGCAGCTTTTTGTTAACAAAGCAAGCAAACCCCCAACAATCGACCGTTTCGTTCAACTGTCAAAACCCCAATTCCTTTCTCAACTGCTTTTTTTTTATTAAAAATTTATGACTATTTTTTAATTTAAAATATATTTTTTTCAACGCTAAATTAATAAAAAAAATACTCGTTCCTCGAACAAAGCACGCCTCCCCTTAATCGAGGCTTCGTACCTTCGAGGATTTGTCAAGGGCATGGCTCTGATACCATGTTAGACGAACACGACTCTCCACAATGGTATGATATAGTCCACTTTGAGCATAAGCTCTCATAGCTTTGCTTTGGGCTTCCCACAATGCCTCATACCAATAGAGTTAGTATTCCTCACTTATAAACCCATGATCATTCCCTAAATTAGCCAATGTGGGACTTTCATCATCCAACAATAATCAAATAATACTAACTCTATTGGTACGAGGTCTTTTGGGGTAGCCCAAAGCAAAGCCATGAGAGTTTATGCTCAAAGTGGACATTGTCATACTATTGTAGAGAGTCGTGTTCATCTAACATGGTATCAGAGTTATACATACCCTAAATTTAGTCATGTCAATAGAATCCTCATATGTCGAAAAATGAGTCGAGCCCTGATTAAGGGGGAGACGTAATTTGTTCGAGGGGAGGTGTTAGATGAAAGTCACACATCAGCTAGTTTAGAGAATTATATTTAATGGGAGAGAAAATGTATATTATTTGTTTATAAAGTATGCTGATTGATATAACTTAGCTTTTAATTTATGAAATTATACCTAATTTGAGACTTTTTTTTTAATTAAAAAAAATGTTTTCAACAACTCATAATTATAAGTCGGTAGATTAAATATTGTAATTATTACGAATTTAAATACAATTATTTGAATGGTCGGAAATCATTTTCTTCTACGAAAATCCCTTTTTAAAATTAAAATTTAATAATAATAATAATAAATAAATAAATAAATAAATAAATAAAGTGTTCTTGATATTGACTGCTTGCCTATTTAACTTAGTTGATAAATCTATGTTTTGAAGGTAGGAGAGGAGAGGGTTGAATGCTCGGAGTTATCTCGATAAAATAAATATGATTCATATGAACACGTTTGATAATATTCTTTCTATAATTATTCCATTATTGAACTTAATATAAATAAAGTAGCGTCGAAGTCGTTAAATTTTGGTATCCAAGTACTAAATTTGACACTATAGGAAAGAACTTCTCGTAGTCGAGAACGAGTTTTGGTGCCACGAAATCACCCCTAGAAAGGCCTTTATGAAACCGAGTACTAGGGAAACTATAATCTTTAATCAAAGGAGAGTGGGAATAAGGGAATATTCGTACTTGTAACAAACTCAAGTTTACTGCTATCAGAAATTGTTTGTTTTGGTCTGTTATGTATTGCTATCAGCCTCACGGTTTTAAAACACGTTTGTTAGGGAGAGGGTTCCACATCCATACAAGGAATGTTTTGTTCTCCTCTCTAACTGATGTGGGTCACTCACCATATGGGTCAGCATCCTCACTAGCACACCGCTCGATGTTTGGCTCTGATACCATTTGTAACAACTCAAGCCCACCGCTCGCAGATAATGTCCATTTTAGCCCGCTACGTATCGTCATCCGCCTCACGATTTTAAAACGCGTCTATTAGGGAGAGGTTTCTACACCCTTAGAATGCTTCATTCTCCTCTCCAACCAATGGGGGATCTCACAATACTCATTTCTTCGTTTTCCAACAAGTTTTTTCCAAACAAACTTTACACAGCTAATCATGTCGGGGACGGGGACGGGGAGCCCGTCCATAGGTGTAACTAAAAAGTTCTGAGGCATAAAGTGGGAAAAAGCACACTTGGTTTGTATTCATTAGACAAATACTATAGTTCTCATAATATCTACACATATGGCATCAATTTCCTACTATATGTATCATTCAATATTTCAGTATATTTAGGTAACTGGTGAGCACTAGAACTCACTCAAGTAACCTAACCATGGGAGACTCTAATCTAAACGAGAAAACGAGAAAAGGCGACGCAAGGGGCTCTCTCTAAGAAGATTGTCCAAGATTCGGTAATCTAAGCCTTCCTTCTTCCAATCGGCTCGTATTAGCCTGTACTTTATTACAGGTAAGTCATTCCCCCATTCCTTTGGTCTTTTCAACGGTACTCAAATCTTCAGTCGTGGTCAAGGTCATGTCTCGCCCCCAATATAGTGACCGGTTCCATTTTTCCCCCGAATTTCATCAACGGCTGCTTTCTTGGCTCTCTTATCTCTGAAGTTGTTGCTTACAGAGAGGGCATGAAGATGCAATAGCAAGCCACTTATCTACACACTTGAGATGAAACACATGGGAACAAGGCAACTGTCTCACTTCTTCCTTGTCTATGTACTTAGCAAGGCAAATGCAACATTCCTGAAAAATCAAAGGCAAAACGAAGGTATTTTAATTCCGTGTTTCCTTCTGTAGTGCTTCCTATACCAGCAAAAGAAAGATTACTTACTGGGTCGTCTTTTGGAAGTCCCGTATGGCTGTTATCGGGTCGACTTTTGGGGTTGATGTCGGCGTGGACTGCTTGGTATCTCCAGTAAGGTAGCTGGGAGATTTGATCGTCCAACGCTCCTTTTTCGGTTGATCCCATGTTAATGTTATATCCTATAAGGCTACTAATCAATGGCACACAGCAACAAAGCAGCAGAAACAGAATGAATGGGAAAGAGTAGCAGATGATATTCCAAACTAGCAGGAAGCTGCATAGTAGATGTAGCTTGGGAGCTCTTTCGAACGAGGCGAAGCGAGAATCGAGGACCCAAAGATTTCCCATTACGAACCATATCGCGAAGAAAAGATCAAGAGACGTGCGACATTTGTTCATCAAATGTGAGTACCTGAATTATGTTCAACAAAAGTCAGATTAGAGGTAATAAAGTACATTTCATGGTTACGATTCCAGCTCAAAATCAATTAAGAGGACATTAGCATGTTGATGATGATTACCTTGATGATTCATTACTCCTCTGCTGTTCGTGTTCGATATCCGAAATACTGTTCCCATCTCCCTGGATTCGATAACGATAACGATACCGATGGCGGCCATAGAGAACCAATAAGCTAAGAACACAGCCAAGATCATAACCACCTATCCACAATCTCATAGGCCAAACTGGCCTCTCAATCTGTGAAATGGCAAGAGTAATCACTGAGATGATTAGCTGAAATAACAGAGCTACAAGTTCCATCACCATCCACGAACCCGAATCAAAAGGATTTGGCCCGAGATCAGATCTCGATCCGTTTTGGTAATGGAAAACTCTTCTCAAGAAAATAAACCATCTGGCTCTAGATACTTTCATGGCTGTTTTAACCCAGAAAGAAGGGGGGATGGCATCCAACGCCGTAGCGCCATCTCCTCCAGACACCGGAATCGATATGAAAGACGTAGTAGCATCAGAATTAAGCGATGGACCCGAAAGGAAGAAACCAGAATGAATCATTGCAAAACAACCCTTTCAAACTAGAACCAACCAGGCTCCTTATCAAGAACAAGACAACAAGCTACACGAACATGGAAAGTTTTGGAAACATGAACACAGAAGAACAGGGAATAGTTCTCATGAAAGGATAACTAAGACTGAAGGGCCAGTTCTAGCACAAAGACGACCAAAATCACACAAGTTTTGCTCCTAATGATTAAAAGAGAAACGGAACCCACTTTGGGACAAAAGCAAACAATTCGAACTCATGAAATTCTCATATCCAAACTTCAAATATTCATTGAGGCAAAACATCAAACACCTGCCGGGCAAGCCCAAAACTGCCAATTCAGTAAGAACCCTTTAAAGCGCATCTCATAACCAACAAAGAATTGGTAGCAAAGCGTATATAGAAGCAAAAAGAGCAACAAAAATGGTTGGAAAAGAAGAAAACAGGAAGGTGAAGTGGGTCGCAGAGGGTCACCAGAAATTCAAGAAATTTACGAGTAAAACCCAAGAAGATTTCCTAACTTTGATTACAAGTGAAATCAATAATCAAACAGTTCAGAAACACGCCAAAATCGTTGGCCTAACTTCAAAAACATAACAAAAAGCTCAAAATAAAGAAGATGAGATAATCAAAATCAACCGTTTATCTTCAAAACAAAACCCCACATGGGTTTTCTGAAGTGTTTTTCAAGAGGGTGAATGGATGGCCACCAAATCCAACTAGCAAGATTGAAGGAGGGGGTGTCGGGCGGAGTGGCCCTCAGAGATGGATATTTAAAACAAAGAGAAGGAATGGTGATTGGGCACACGCCATTGATGAACAGAGGGGAAGCTCCGAGTGGGCCGCCCTCATTTGATTTCAACGTGGAGGGCTAATCCAAAACGCAATCCCTAACAAACAAGAACACAGCGAATTGTTCTTCATTTGTTCTTCCCCTGACTGTTATTCAATCTATTAGAAGACATCAACATCAGGGACATGGGGCTGAGAAAGACCCATTTTTTGTTTTTTGGGGGATAATTTGCTTATTGCTTCATAATTGAGAGAGATAGAGCAATCAAGATAGTGTGTATTTTTTGTTCTTTTATTTAAATGGTCAAACCTCTTTGATTGTGTATGCAAGAATGCTCGTAGACCCGATTGGATTGGATTAGAGAATTCAAAATTTAGTGTTGGTCAGGTGGCTATCTACAAAACCATTCACAGCCCATATGTTAGCTTGGGTTCGGTTTTTGTGTTGTGCGTTACCCGATTGGATTAAGTTAAAGAATTCAAAATTTAGTGTTGGTCTCGTTACCATATGAAGAAACAGTTAACAACCCAACTTAACCCTCTATTTTTAGTATGTTAGCTTGGGTTCGATTTCTGTATTGTTTGATTGGATTGGGTGAGAAGCTTGGGTTCGGTTTTTGTGTTGTTCGTTACCCGATTGGATTAAGTTAAAGAATTCAAAATTTAGTGTTGGTCACGTTACCATATGAAGAAACAGTTAACTCACGTTACCCTAGGAAGAAACAGTTAACTCACGTTACCATATGAAGAAACAGATAACAACCCAACTTAACCCTCTATTTTTAGTATGTTAGCTTGGGTTCGATTTCTGTATTGTTTGATTGGATTGGGTGAGAATTCAAAATTTAGTGTTGGTAAAGTTGACTATCAAAAGACATCGTTCAACTTAACCCTCTATTTTTAGTATGTTGGCTTGGGTTTGGTTTGTTGTCACGATTGGAATGGGTTAGAGAATTCAAATTTTAGTGTTGGTCAAGTTGGCTATGTGACGAACGTTCACAGTCCAACTTAACCCTCTATTTTTAGAATGTTTGGCTATTTGAAGAAACCGTTCACAACCCAACTTAACCCCCTCACCTTCTTTTTTTCTCTATTTTTAGTACGTTGGGTTACTGTTTGTTTTTTAATTAATTTAAAACTTTATATTTATCCACAAGACAGATAAAATATAAATATTAAATATTCTCACATCATAATACTATAATTAATTTTCATAATAATCTTAAAAATAGAAAAAAGTTTCGAACTCAGAACTAATGGTTAGTTCAAATTGTTCGAATTATTAGATCATCAAAGTTTTATTTTTTAACAATTTTATTTCTTATATTTTAAATTTGTAATAATTTAATTCATACTAGGAAAAATTCCATTAATCGCTTCCTCCAATAAATAAATAATTCTATATAAATAAATAAATAAATATATATATACATATACATATATATATATATATATATATATATATATATTATAATGTTAAAATCAGCAGAGAATGTAAATATGTGTGAATTTCACTATCATATCCCGAATTCCCAATTAGTTACGAGAAATTTCCATGTACACGTGGCAAAGAACCACCAGCCAACTCATCAAATTCTGAAACCTACATGAAAATAACAGTTCTGACGTAAGCCTACACTCGAGCACTTGATTGTTTTTTGCCACGTGGCGTATTGATCAAAGGGTAAAATTGGAAAAGTTTATCTTAAATTGTAATTTTGGTTCTTTAGATTCGAACGTTTTGTTAATAAATATCTTTACTGACCCGACCAATATCAAGAAGGTAATATATATAACAAGAAAAGACGATGAATACTTATCAACCCGACCAGTATCATGAATACAATGAGAAGCTCGGAAAGTAATATACATAACAAGGAAAGACGATGAGTACTTACTGACCTAACCATCATCATGAATACAGTGAGAAGCTCTTGAGAAGTAATTCGTATAATAAGGAAAGACGATGAGTACTTACCAACCCGACCAACATCATGAATATATGAGAAGCTTTCAGAAAGTAATACGTATAATAAGGAAAGACGACGAGTACTTATCGACTCGTCCAACAACATGAATACAATGAGAAACTCTCGAAAAGTAATACGTAATAATAAGGAAAGACGATGAGTATCTACCAACCCGACCAACAACAGAGAAACTCTCGAAAAGTAATACGTATAATAAGGAAAGACAATAAGTATTTACCAACCCAACTAACAACATGAATACAGTGAGAAGCTCTTGAAAAATAATACGCATAACAAGGAAAGACAATGAGTACTTACCGACCCGACCATCATCATGAACACAGTGAGAAGCTCTCGAAAAGTAATACGTATAATAAGGAAAGACGACGAGTACTTACCGACCTGACCAGCATCATGAATACGGTAATACGCATAACAAGGAAAGACAATGAGTACTTACCGACCCGACCATCATCATGAACACAGTGAGAAGCTCTCGAAAAGTAATACGTATAATAAGGAAAGACGACGAGTACTTACCGACCTGACCAGCATCATGAATACGGTAATACGCATAACAAGGAAAGACAATGAGTACTTACCGACCCGACCATCATCATGAACACAGTGAGAAGCTCTCGAAAAGTAATACGTATAATAAGGAAAGACGACGAGTACTTACCGACCTGACCAGCATCATGAATACGGTAATACGCATAACAAGGAAAGACAATGAGTACTTAGCAACCTGATCAGCATCATAAATACATCATAAATACAGAGAAAAGCTCTCGAAAAAGAATATGTATAATAAGGAAAGACAGCGAGTACTTACCGACCTAACCAGCATCATGAATACAGTAATACGCATAACAAGGAAAGACGATGAGTACTTACCGAACCGACCATCATCATGAATACAGTGAGAAGCTCTCGAGAAGTAATACGTATAATAAGGAAAGACGACGAGTACTTACCGACCTGACCAGCATCATGAATACAGTAATATACGTATAACAAGGAAAGATGAAGAGTACTTACCGACCAGATCAGCATCATGAGTACAGTGAGAAGCTCTCGAAAAGTAATACGTATAATAAGGAAAGACGACGAGTACTTACCGACCTGACCAGCATCATGAATACAGTAATATACGTATAACAAGGAAAGACGAAGAGTACTTACCGACCAGATCAGCATCATGAATACAGTGAGAAGCTCTCGAAAAGGAATACGTATAATAAGGAAAGACGACGAGTACTTACCGACCTGACCAACATCATGAATACAGTAATATACGTATAACAAGGAAAGACGAAGAGTACTTACCGACCAGATCAGCATCATGAATACAGTGAGAAGCTCTCGAAAAGGAATACGTATAATAAGGAAAGACGACGAGTACTTACCGACCTGACCAACATCATGAATACAGTAATATACGTATAACAAGGAAAGACGAAGAGTACTTACCGACCAGATCAGCATCATGAATACAGTGAGAAGCTCTCGAAAAGGAATACGTATAATAAGGAAAGACGACGAGTACTTACCGACCTGACCAGCATCATGAATACAGTAATATACGTATAACAAGGAAAGACGAAGAGTACTTACCGACCAGATCAGCATCATGAGTACAGTGAGAAGCTCTCGAAAAGTAATACGTATAATAAGGAAAGACGACGAGTACTTACCGACCTGACCAGCATCATGAATACAGTAATATACGTATAACAAGGAAAGATGAAGAGTACTTACCGACCAGATCAGCATCATGAGTACAGTGAGAAGCTCTCGAAAAGTAATACGTATAATAAGGAAAGACGACGAGTACTTACCGACCTGACCAGCATCATGAATACAGTAATATACGTATAACAAGGAAAGACGACGAGTACTTACCGACCTAACCAGCATCATGAATACAGTCTGAAGCTCTCGAAAAGGAGTACGTATAATAAGGAAAGACGACGAGTACTTACCGACCTAACCAGCATCATGAATACAGTCTGAAGCTCTCGAAAAGGAGTACGTATAATAAGGAAAGACGACGAGTACTTACCGACCTAACCAGCATCATGAATACAGTCTGAAGCTCTCGAAAAGGAGTACGTATAATAAGGAAAGACGACGAGTACTTACCGACCTAACCAGCATCATGAATACAGTCTGAAGCTCTCGAAAAGGAGTACGTATAATAAGGAAAGACGACGAGTACTTACCGACCTAACCAGCATCATGAATACAGTCTGAAGCTCTCGAAAAGGAGTACGTATAATAAGGAAAGACGACGAGTACTTACCGACCTAACCAGCATCATGAATACAGTCTGAAGCTCTCGAAAAGGAGTACGTATAATAAGGAAAGACGACGAGTACTTACCGACCTAACCAGCATCATGAATACAGTCTGAAGCTCTCGAAAAGGAGTACGTATAATAAGGAAAGACGACGAGTACTTACCGACCTAACCAGCATCATGAATACAGTCTGAAGCTCTCGAAAAGGAGTACGTATAATAAGGAAAGACGACGAGTACTTACCGACCTAACCAGCATCATGAATACAGTCTGAAGCTCTCGAAAAGGAGTACGTATAATAAGGAAAGACGACGAGTACTTACCGACCTAACCAGCATCATGAATACAGTCTGAAGCTCTCGAAAAGGAGTACGTATAATAAGGAAAGACGACGAGTACTTACCGACCTAACCAGCATCATGAATACAGTCTGAAGCTCTCGAAAAGGAGTACGTATAATAAGGAAAGACGACGAGTACTTACCGACCTAACCAGCATCATGAATACAGTCTGAAGCTCTCGAAAAGGAGTACGTATAATAAGGAAAGACGACGAGTACTTACCGACCTAACCAGCATCATGAATACAGTCTGAAGCTCTCGAAAAGGAGTACGTATAATAAGGAAAGACGACGAGTACTTACCGACCTAACCAGCATCATGAATACAGTCTGAAGCTCTCGAAAAGGAATACGTATAACAAGGAAAGACGAAGAGTACTTACCGACCAGATCAGCATCATGAATACAGTGAGAAGCTCTCGAAAAGGAATACGTATAATAAGGAAAGACGACGAGTACTTACCGACCTGACCAACATCCTGAATACAGTAATATACGTATAACAAGGAAAGACGAAGAGTACTTACCGACCATATCAGCATCATGAATACAGTCTGAAGCTCTCGAAAAGGAGTACGTATAATAAGGAAAGACGACGAGTACTTACATCATGAATACAGTCTGAAGCTCTCGAAAAGGAGTACGTATAATAAGGAAAGACGACGAGTACTTACCGACCTGACCAACATCATGAATACAGTAATATACGTATAACAAGGAAAGACGAAGAGTACTTACCGACCAGATCAGCATCATGAATACAGTAATATACGTATAACAAGGAAAGACGAAGAGTACTTACCGACCAGATCAGCATCATGAATACAGTGAGAAGCTCTCGAAAAGGAATACGTATAATAAGGAAAGACGACGAGTACTTACCGACCTGACCAGCATCATGAATACAGTAATATACGTATAACAAGGAAAGACGAAGAGTACTTACCGACCATATCAGCATCATGAATACAGTCTGAAGCTCTCGAAAAGGAGTACGTAAAATAAGGAAAGACGACGAGTACTTATCGACCTGACCAACATCATGAATACAGTAATATACGTATAACAAGGAAAGACGAAGAGTACTTACCGACCAGATCAGCATCATGAATACAGTGAGAAGCTCTCGAAAAGGAATACGTATAATAAGGAAAGACGACGAGTACTTACCGACCTGACCAACATCATGAATACAATAATACGTATAAGAAGGAAAGACGATGAGTACTTACCAACCAAATCAGCATCTTGAATCCAAAGAAAAGCTCTCGAAAAGGAATACGTATAACAAGGAAAGACGACGAGTACTTACCGATCTGACCAGCATCCTGAATACAGTAAGAAGCTCTCGGAAAGTAATACATATAACAATATTGTTATATGATTTCATATATATTTCTCTCAAAAACAAAATGATTTTACAGTGGGAAAATGGAGACAGAAAGAGAGATACCACAAAACCAGTGTAATGAATAAACATAACTTACAAATTTCATACAATGTAATAGGTAAACTCTGCAGCTGTAGGAATGGCTTGTAAAGACTGATAGAGTTTGCAGCAACCATAATTTACAAACAAAAGTAACTGCTGTGTCTAGCTGCGCTTTAACTTTTCCTTTTCTTTCTCCTTCTCCTTTCCCTTATTTTCACCAAGAACAAATTCCACATACAAATCCTTCAGAGCTATCACGACCGTCGTAATCAACGGTCCCATAATCGCACCCTGTGAGAATAACTTCGACTTGTGATCTTTTCATCGTTTTGTTTTTTTAGGGAGAAATGAGAGTTTCATTGATAAGTGAAATAACAACGGAAGGAGAAAGAACCCTCGGAGTTTGAGGGAACCCGAAGCCAAAGGATTACGAGAAAATCTTCTAATTAGCCAAATCAATGCTAGCAGATACTGTCTTCTTTGGGTTTTCCCTTTCGGGCTTCCCCTCAAGGTTTTTGAAACGCATTTACTAGGGAGAGGTTTCCACACCCTTATAAAGAATGCTTTGTTCCCATCTCCAACCGACGTGGGATCTTACAATTCATCTCCCTTCGAGGCCTAACGTCCTCGCTAACACTCATTCCCTTCTCCAATCGATGTGAGATCCTCAATCCACCCTCTTCGAAGCCCAACATCCTTGATGGCACACTGCCCGATGTCTCATTCTAATATCATTTGTAACAGCTCAAGTCCACCGCTAGCAGATATTGTCCTCTTCGGGCTTTCTCTTTCGGGCCTCCCCTCAAGGTCTTTAAAATGCATCTGCTAGAGAGAGGTTTCCACACCTTATACAGACTGCTTCGTTCCCCTCTCCAACCAATGTGGGATCTCACAATCCACCCCTTCGGAGCCCAGCGTCCTTGCTGGCACTCATTCCCCTCTCCAATCGATGTAGGACCCCCAATCCACGCCTTTCGGGGCCCAGCGTCCTTGCCAACACACCGCCTTGTGACCACCCTCTTCAGGGCTCGTCGTCTTCACTAACACACCGCCCAGTGTCTAGCTTGATATCATTTGTAACAGGCCATGTCCACCGCTAGCAGATATAGTCCTCTTTGGACTTTCCCTTTCAAGCTTCCACTCAAGGTATTTAAAACACATCTGTTAGAAGGAGGCTTCCACACCCATATAAAGAATGTTTCGTCCCCTCTCCATCCGATGTAGGATCTCACATTTAGAAACTAAAATTATCACACTCGATTTCCCTAAGCAGAAACACGTGAAAATGCAACATAAAGTCGAGAAAGGAAAAGAAAGGGTACCTCCAATGCAGATGAAAACAAAGTCATCCCACCAATGATGCTAAGTCCCATAAGGTATTCACTGTGACCAGGCGTGCCCTCTTGGATTTCCGAGACGCCGTAATCCATAAGCGCGAGATGAATAATAGACAAACAGAGAGCCACAACATATCTACCTTCCAGCAACAGCTGCAAGGCTGCTGGAATTGTTGCAAACCAATATGGAAAGATTGGGAAAAGAGGACTGAGAAATGCAAGAACAGTAGACACATACAAGAAATGTATTTCAAATAGTCTAAGCAACAGCCATGTAAGACATCCTTGATAGATAGCAATCTGTGCTGTAGCCAAAAGAACACCTGAGATCGCATTATCAAGAACTTCAACGCATCGAATTCGAGCCGATTCTTCAATCGGAAGCATATATATAACTTGTTCAGTCACACCACCAGATTCAGAAGTAATAAGATAATAAAGAACCCAAAAGAACACCATTGAATGAGAAACGAAGTTAAAAATCTCAGCTGCTCCTGAAATGATAGAACTACCAATGGAAAGCATAAGCTTAGCACTGCCTCCTAGTACCGACACACTACTAGCGAAGACTCGTTGCGAAATATCCATCCCTTGAACGGCTAATTCTTTCGCTTTCTCGAGTAAATCCTCCCTAGTGATTATCAACTCCCTAATAATTGCATCAAGCTCTGTATAAATCTGACCCCATTCCTTGTTACTAATCCGGTTTCTCAAGCTCATAAGCTTGTGCGTGTACGGCGATGGAGTCATTAGAGAAGTCAAAGGCCCCGAAGAGTTAGCACGAGACGATGATAAAGCCAAATGCTTAATCCCAGTGACAAACTCAGTGATATTATACTGCATAGCCAAGCTATCTATCTGTTCCAACACTGCATCATAAAATTTGGAGGTGTAGCTATCAATCATCCCAGCCATATCATTGTCTTCCATCCATTTCTTAACCCCAATTCTCTCAGCATAGTTGCTTTGTTCTACATGTATTTTCAATGAAATCATAGCATCTTTCCCTTCAACTCCAATTTTGTAAGAGAAAAACACCAAACCAGCCAAGAACGCAAGAATCATAGCAACAATTAACCCAATAGCAACAATGGTTTTCAATCTTTTCAAAACCCCTGTAGTGAAAAATGAACTAACAGCAGTACGACGAAAGCTCAGGCTACGAAATGAAGAAACATTATACATAGTAGAATCCACAGATTTGGAACTAAACAAGAACCCTAATCCAAGAAGCGAAACAGACCCAACAACGCCAAAATTCTCATACGCAAGTATAAAAATCCAAAACGAAACAAGCCATCGCAGCAACTTAGAAAACACGCTCTGTTTTCGTCTAATATGCCCTGGTTTCTTCCTCCTAAGAACAACACGAACACAAACTTCACGAAATTGAACAAGAGTTCCAACAAAAACCTGAAAAACAGCAACCGGGATGGCGAGAATGGTCTCGGTGAGGCCCAATTTAAGGGGTTCGGACCAGAAACCTTCAAGGGTTTGTTGAACGCCGCGAAGAGGGATAGAACAGAGGACGGCCCATTGAAGGGGGCGGAGATAGGCTTCGAGGAGACGACCGACGGCGTAGAGAGTGAGAATGGTGAAGGCGAGACCGGCGTGAGCCATGGCGATGTAAAGGGCGAGACGGACCTGAGGATCGCCGGAAAAGGAGGAGTCGGAATCGGAATCGGATTGCGACGGGAGTTTGGATGATTGTTGGTGGTGGTGGTTTTGAGGGTCGGGGCTTGGTTTTCGAACGGAGGCGGATCTGAACATGTCCTGCCATGGAGGGCTGGAGGAATTGGGATTGGAATTGGGATTGGGATTGGGATTGGAAGATGGGTCGGAGTAAGGGACGAGTTCCATTGGCAGGGGAGGTGGAAGTGACAGAGAAATGGCGTCCGATGAAGAGAAGAAAGGCAATAACTCTCAAAAAAAAAAAAAACTTTTAAACTTTGAACTAATTTCAAAAATACCTTAAAATTTTCAAAAATAAGTTGACTGTTATTATGATGGTTCGATCGGTTGTGTTATCGGTTGTGTTATGTTATACTATTTTAAGTCATATTATGTTATGTCGTGTTATAGATTCATGTTCGTGATCATTTAAGCTATGTTATATACGATGGGCAGAAATGATGTATGAATGATTTTAAGTTACGAAGACTTTACACGTTTTTGTGTGTCATATGTATGATGATACTTTTTTGTTATTATTAGTACGAATGTATTTCTTATGACATTTGTATTTGCCATGATATTATGCGGGACATTTTCATTGTGGTGTTTGGAAGCCCGTTAGTGAGTGATAGTTTGACGAGTTAGGCTTAGGGACATGTATATGAGCTCGTCTGGTGGGAACTATGTGCACATGCATGGGTTGTGTGTCTAGTGAAGTTACACGTTACACATCCAACACTACCTCGACTCCATTTTGTTTAATTTTTTTAAATTATTTTGTTATTTTATTATTTTTAATTTCTTTATTTAGTTTCTTTTATATATTTTTTTTAAATACCCTAATATTTTATACTATGTAAAAGACTTCAAAATAAAATAATATATAACTATTAATACATTATATACCTCTAATACAAATATTTATTAATTATAATTTATATTTGTGTTTAAGTTATTTGGATCTATGTATATATTTTAAATTATAATATATTTATTATCTATATGTGTTGTAACATTATTATATCACAATTCATATATTTTAAGGTAACTTATAAATAAGTATATTTCAATTAAAATATTTTTATATATTTTTTGTTTTTGTTATATACAATTTTTTATAGTAATCATTTTATTATTTATTTAATTTCATGATACTACTTTAACCAATTCTAAAAAAAAAAAGTGTGGTATTTAATTCGGTTTAGTTTTATGGTTGAACTATGTTAATATATTACCATTTTCTCGCTGTTATTTTATATTGAATTTATTATTATTATTATTATTTATTATTTTTTTTGTCAATAATTATGGATACTTTTAATATATTTTATGTAAGATTGTATTGGAATAATTATAAATTGTGGATAAATAAATTTTTTTTAAAAAAATTGACAACCCAATCCGGACCATGTACACCCCTAGTTTTTAAAATGATAAGTCCCACCCTATCACACTGCATTTTCTAACCCCAACAATGGTTTATTTATTGAGTATTTCTCAAAATGCTCAAATCGTGTGCTACTCTTGTTTTAGGTGTCACAACCTCACTTAGGGGCCTATCCATTTCGATATGAGCTTCAAATGGAATTGTTTGTCAACATTGCGCCTCAACCCATGTGTCAGAGGTTGGATTATGCACCCGCTAGCCAAAACAAATTTTTTAAATGATTAAGCAAAGACACGGGATGAACATGTCAAGGTCATGAGATAATATAGTTGAAAACATACGATCATACATAAAACACCTCATAGAACCTAAATTAAGATAATTGCAATCCTATCTTTTTAATAGCCTTATGTTAGAACATGATTTATTTTATTTCATTTAATTCACTATCATTTACCTCGACAACAATATTTTAAAATATTTATTATGAATATTAAGCTCATAATACGTTTTATGATATGAAATGATTGTTTTCTAATCGTTTATCACGCATACCGTGACAACCTTAAAAATAGGATCGTCACATCGGTCAAGTTCAAAGCTAAAGCCCAACATATATTATATACAAAAGCAATTTGGTCAATAATAAATTACAAATCAATATATTATATACAAACATTTCAACTGCACTGTAACTTACAAAATTGCAAAAGAAGACATACAAGAGTAAAAGATTACTAGCGATAACTTGGCAAAGGAAATCTATGAAAGAAGGTTATCAAACCGGGTTCCAACCAAATAGAGCGCAGAGACAACGAGTTCAGTCGAACAGCATAACGAGTCTAAGGACGGAATCAAGCTTGAAAGGAATGGGCGTAGGCTTAATAGCGAAAGAGACTGATATATTGCATTGCGAAGAGAGATTTTTGATACGGATGGAAAAGACAGAGAAGAGAACGTACCGGAAGGGCATTCCTTTAGGAGCACCCCCAGCAAACATCGAGATGCACAAAGCCGACCTATATCTCAAAAGAAAAATGCAGGAGATGAAAACCAAAATCAGCTTTGGGAGTGTGAGATACGCAGACGGGGAGTACTCAGCCGAACAATCGCTCCAACAGTGATAGCTGCCCTATAGCTTCAATGACACTCCAGAAATCCACAAGGGAGGCAACCACCAGAGTTCAGCTTCTTCAGCAGAGTTCAGTCAATAGGAGTATTCAACTTTTCTCACTCAAAACCAAATTATTTCCAGTTTTCCAATAACTTCTTGTTCATCATACACACACAGGATAGTAACAAAATCATCAAAAAAAAAACCAGTTAAGCATAAATTTATCTCAATACCAAAAAATACAAGACCTTTCTAATCAACATATGACCTCTATACA